TAATGTTGTCAGAATTTATTCTTAGGAAAAATGCTAGTTCTCGAGACCCATTAAAACTAATCCTTTGAAAATAATTTTTTAAGTTTGAATTCTAATCTAGACTATCTTGTTAGAGAAGCTAAGTATACTCAGTGTATAGATATGTGGCCGAGGGTCCCTAAGTTGTCTTTCTAACTCTTCCTTCTCCCAAAGGAGCCCTGGACCTCAAGAAGGTGCACTTAATGCAAACTCTTGAGCAGGATCGTACCCTAGCATGCCATTTCCCTTCTAATATAACTGCACAATGTCTGGCATCACTGGCCACTATTTTGAATATTAACCTCTGGTGGGAAAATAAACAAGGTCCAGGAGGGTTATAATATGATACAACACAATTCTGTATCAATCAAAGCCAGTAACTACCTGCCCAAGGAAATATTTCTGAACAAATACTGTTTCCTCAGCATCACTCTATTTAAGGTCTGCAGCCACTTGTTATCACGATAACACCTTTTAACTTCATCTTTGCCTCCATATATATATATATATATATATATACATATGTATATATATACATATATCTGCTTTTTGGGTCACACCCAGTAATGCCCAGAAATTACTCCTGGCTCTGCTCTCAGGAATTACTCCTGGCAGTGCTTGGGGGACCATATGGGATGCCGGGGATTGAACCTAGGTCAGCTGCATGCAAGGCAAACACCCTACCCACTGTACTATTGCTCCAGCCCCACCTCCTTATATTTAGTGTAGTGCTTTTTAACTGGGGGCCATGGGTCGCTGATACTCCAAGGGGGCCTCAGATAAAGACTATGTAAATGGTGGGGTCACAGCCTGGTTAACCTGTAGTACAGGTTGGGGGCTCAGGAACATTGGAAGTGGGCTACAGTGGGAAAATGCTTGAGAAACATTTTGCTGTAATACTATCCCTGTGGTTTAATGGGCTCTATCCAGAGACCGACCTCCTCAAGGACCTTTTATGGAGCCTGCTTGGTAAAAGGGCTCAACAAATGTTAGACTCTAAATAAATATATTTTATGTAGAATTTCTCTGAAAACAGGGTATCATTTGTTTCTGAAGTTTGTTTTCTGGTCTTTCTTTAACAGACCTAGGGAATTTAGATGTCTTTTTGTTGATATAGTTGCTCTTTTGCATAGCGTGGGATAATCCTTTATTTATTTTTTTGGGGTCGAGGTAAGGGGGCTGTCTTCGTCAGGGCTGGGTGTCTGGTATCACTCTTGGTTGGCAATGCTTGGATAGGCTGTATGAGTCCTGCAGTTCTGTGTTTGGGAAGGTCTTATGCCTAGGACCAGTGGTTGGGGGTCACTAGTGACACACCTGGCTGTGCTCAGGGTGTACGTGGGTATTTGGTGACAAGGATTAATTCAAACTCACACGTGCCAGGCATGTGTTGCTTTATCTCCTCATGCTGCCAGTCTGTCCTCATTTTCTAACAAGTAATGCTGACATGCAGCTTTTTCTTGAAAACGACATACTAATTTGAGTTGATAATACTAACACTTGAACACTCAAATATTGATCAGGTCTCATCTAGGCTCTGTGGTTAGGAGGTCACTTCTGACAGTGCTCAGGGGAGCATGTCTCAGCAGGAATCAGACCCAGGTCTCTGCATGCAAAGCTTCTATTCAGCCTGTTGAACTCTTTCCAGCCACTTCCTATGATCTTTTGGTACTAATATCCAGAAAACACACGTTTGTCAGCGTATTAAACTACAAACATGGGGACTATTTCTGTTAATGAGAGAACTAAGGTCAGATGTGAGATTAGTACTTCTAAAGGTAGAGACTTTTAATATCGGCAAAAATGACTGAAAACACACTTTTATGACAAGATAGCTGTTCAGTGTAAAAACAAGGTGAGAGGATGTATCATGATCTTGAGACTATGGGCTCAACTCTAATGCATGAGGCCATCAGTCTGTTTTACATACAGGTTCTTTTCCTTTAAATTACTGTGTGTGTGTGGGGTGGTGGGGGCACACCTGGTGGTGCTGGGGATTCCAGCATGCAAGGCATATACTCTGTCACCTGAGCCACACCCCCAACCCCTCGGTTGTTTGAGTAAGGGATAAAACAGACATGATCCAAAGAGCTGGATGTACTCTTAAATTACCTGACTCAGTCAGAATAAGATGAAAGTCAGACAAGAAACTGACAGTTTATGAAAGATACAATTAAGTGGTGTTTTCTAGTTATAGAAGAGTAAGAGAAAGGAGGGAGTGTGATACTATTGCTAACTAGCTGCATATCAAGCAAGTCATTACCTTTCTTGGCCTATTTTTGTATTTTAGTCTGAAACATACATTTCTGAGGTTTGTTTTAGCTTGGAGAAATCTTGTTCTACGATTTTTATGTTCAGAAAGGCTTAAACAGGAAGGGTGATTTCATTTGTGCGCTATCAGTGGAACTCTGGATAAATTCAGAAGAATCCTAGTGTGGTGCAGCCTATTCAGAAGAAAAAGCTCATAAAAAAAAGATGAACCTATTTGTAGCTTTCCAACCAACAAATTCTTGTTGGAATAGGATCTTTTGAAAATTTTTTCTGGTAACCAATTCACATGGTTTCAAAAGGCATATTTCACATTATACATCTTTAAGACTGTCCTAATCAGTACCTAAAGATACTAGATGTATATACCAATGATTTTTTTTTATTACATGTACACACACACATACACACACACACACACATACATACACAAAGCGCTAAGGAGTTTTCTCACAAAAAAAAAAAAAAACAAAAAACGAAAACAAAAATTGTCTCTGTGACTTAAAGTCCAGATAAAATTGCAGTGTTTTGGTTGGAAATGTTATTTTGGCAATTCTTAAATAATTATGGCATGGAAACATGTATACAATTAACTTTCAAATATAAAAAATGAAGACATTCACATACAAACATGCAAACATATATACTATCTTTTTTCGGTTTTTTCTCAGTTTATGTACATGTAGGCCGGAGTGACAGCATAGTGGGTAGGGCATTTGCCTTGCACGCGGCCGACCTCAGTTCAATTCCTCCGTCCCTCTTCCTCAGCAAGCTACTGAGAGTATTCTGCCCGCATGGCAAAGCCTGGCAAGCTACCCGTGAATATTTGATATGCCAAAAACAGTAACAACAAGTCTCACAATGGAGATGTTACTGGTGCCCGCTCGAGCAAGTCGATGAACAATGGGAGGACAGTGGCAGTACATACATGTAGTTTCTGAGCTTCTCAGAAAATCTCAAGACTCCACTGGAACTGCTGGTCTGGTTCAGACAGAGCAAATGCCTCATAAGTCTGCCATCCCCATGTTATCCCCTGCATCGCAAAAGAAACAAAAGGACCAAATAGTACAAAAGTAAAGGCACATGCCTAGAATGTGGCTGTGGCCGAGACACTGGTTCAAAACAAAGCTCAGCATATGGTTGCCAGGCGGCCCCTGACCACTGTTGGTGTGGCCTCCAAACCAAAAACTAGATAATTAAGGACCCCATTGTTCCTCATTCTTAGAGAGAGCCTATTATCTGGGGATTTTGCTGCAAGTGCCAACTTTGATTTTAGAGGATTGAGCTGGGTAAAGCTTCTCAGTGAGAGGATGGAGGGATAGTACAGGGATTATGATGCTTGCCTTGCACGCACACCTTGGTTCCTTGGGCCTTGTGAGTACTGCTTGGGAGACTCAAATATTTAAAAAAAAATGCAAAAAAACTTTCCCAGTGAATGAAGAGGCTGTATGTATATTCATATGTGTATATATGTTATCTACTCATGTTTAAATTGTATCTTCTGCTGCTTATTTACCCAATGATCAAATTAACCATTTAAGAGCGTGTACTATGAGCCCAGTACTACGACAGCATCTTTTTGCCATTGGATCTTCTCAGGTTGGTTCCTTAGATCTCATCAATTATTTTTTTCGATCCATTCATAAATACTGCTACCAATAAAACCAGGATGTATTGTTTAAACTTCTCAAACTGTGCAACCTTTGGGGTTTTTTTTGGTTACACCCAGCATTGCCCAGGGGTTACTCCTGGGTCATGCACTCAGGAATTACTCCTGGTGGTGCTTGGGGGGCCCATATAGGATGCTGGGACTCGAACCTGGGTCAGCTGTGTGCAAGGCAAACACCTTACCCGCTGTGCTATCACTCCAGCCCCACACTGGGTTTTTGATGCTCAGTGTTCCCTGGGTCTGAGAGACCCAAATGTTATACATCTGACAGCATCGGATCTGGACACCACTTCACACTACGTTTCCCCACATCTAATTTTATCATGACCACTCCAACTCAACTGGGCCTTTGCTGAATTGACTTCTCCATCTCTGGAAGCAGCAAACACCCCAGGTGCCTGTCATGGTTCTCTGCATACTGTTGTTCAGTGACAGATTTTGTTCCCAAGAGCCAGTGCTTATTTCCAGGTTATAAATCCAAGGGTATTAGTCACCCTCAACCCATAAGGCATTCATTCAAAAATCACTCCCTATTTTCCTAATTAGAAAAGTGTCTGTTCCTGATCCTAACCCCTTATCTTAAAACTACGCTCTTATCAGGACAAAATATTCAAGCTGGTGTTTCAGTGTTTTAAGTATTCATTGGATTAAATGTCTCAGTAAAGTATCCTGTTTAACTTAACTTTTAAGAAGATATCCTGTCTTGGATGTGACAGAAAGATTGCAGTGAGGAAAAGGAGCCAAAAGATAACTACAAAAGAACTTTAAGACTATGTCCTGGAAAAGAACCCCAGTCAATGGGGTTCTAAAATGAATAGAATCAGGACTCAGCACCACCAAATGGGTAAAATATAGGGTGTGAAAACAATCTACGTGTTCTGTGGGCACTGCCCTGCATTCTATTATTTAAATAGAATAAACCCATTACTGTATCATACCCCAAAGCACCATTCTCCCCTTAAAGTCCAAATCCATTTTACAAACCGCAAATACTTTAATCTGGTATCTCAACAGAATGAAGACTTTAAAAAAGGAGACGACACAAAAATTCTGGTAACACTTTCTACAAAAAACGCTTTATTTAAAAATATGATCTTTAAAAAAAAGATGACTTATATACAGTGACTTAGTTTAGAAACATTCAAGACATGATAAAATAAACCCAACTTAAGGAACTATGATTTGTAAGATACACAATACTGACGGTGAATAAGATCATTCCAATAGATGATTAATTCTTCTTGTCCAATCACATTTCGGTAATTCACATTTATGACCAGTACTTGGGATGAAAGAACAGTTTTACTGGAATTATTTCCTTCTCTGGGAATGGCAGTCACACTTTTGCAGCAGACAGAAATAACAGCAGCTAGCAATGTACTCCTAGTTTGATGAAAACCTTTGTGTCCGATGATCCATTTCTACCACATTTAAAAAAATTTTTTTGGGGGTGGAGGGAGAGGGGCTATAGAGCCTGCTCTTCTAGAAAAGGCCTTTTTGAAGATAATAAAAATTTTTTCCCCAAAGGGAAGTTCTCCTGAACTGCTAAAACTAGTACAGGCTTCAGAGCTAATGCCCTCAGGGTATTAACACTCACCATGATCTTGGCCCCCAAGTCAGAAGTGCTCTGAGTAACTATGCAACTATCTTTTTTCAGTGTAGTACCAAAATATGTTAACCCACACCCAAATATCAGATAGAGATTGGTAATAAAAAACGAGATATGGCTTGTCAAACTCCGGTTTCTTGTCTACCTGTTCAAGACACTTAGTTGGATTTCACAATCAGACATTTGAAAACTTCTTTTTTCTTTCCAAACTGCTTAACGGGGGAAACCCTTGCCTCTCATTTACTGGACTGTCATTTTACTCAAGATTTGAAAAGAAGCTGAGTATTTTTCTAATTAAAAAAAAAAATTAAAAAAAAATCTGTGGACTATATTTACAAGCCAAATAAAATAATTCTCTAATAAAATAGACAACTTAAAAGAAATGACAAGATGATGTTTTGGACTCTGCCCTCATACTCTATCTCCTATGAGGAGTATTTCAGTAGTAGTATCTGCAAAGCAATGACCTAGGAGGAGTTAATATCTTAACGTGTAGCCAGGTCCTTACTGACAGTAAATACAAGTATATTCAAAACTCTTGGCTCAATCTTGAGTTCCAGCTTCAAAAATACTGTAAATCTCTGCTTCAACATATATACATATACATAAATTGTCTACACTGATCAAGAAAAAGAATCAAGGAAAGAACTCTGATTTTTATTTTACACTGTTTAATAACTAGAGGAATGCTGCAATCAAAAATCAAAACTGTGAGGAAGATTCCTGTCTCACAATTGAAAATATACAACAGGTCGTTAGAAACAGTTGAATCCAAGTTAGAACTTGATCCACTTGAGAGTGATTGGGGGTGGTTTACTCCTTTCAGACTAAGACGAAATTAGAACACTCTTGTTCCTTAATGCTCTTACTGCTAAAAAGGCAGGAACATGGTAACTTTCTGATCTGTCACCTCCTTTGCAATGCCATATCCATCAAGCATTCTTTTTTTGACTCCAAAAAGATCCTTATAGTCCACTGGAGGGATAAATCCAAAATGCCAAACCAAAACTACTTCTCAAATACAAAGTTAAGGTTATCCCAGGTTATCCTTGGTATAAATAACATTACAAAGAACAAAATGAAGTGAACAATGAAAAAATGAACCAAATTTACAAAGTTTTTCTGTTTCTTAAAACAACAGTTCAACTTCATATGGCCATGTAAGGAAATCATAATCTGTAAATCAAGTTGTTGTCCAACACATATACAAATTAAATATAAATATTTTGTTGGATCAAAAATGATCCTAGATAGTGAGGATTAATCCTGTTAATCCCACAATTTAATAAGACCATCCCAGCCACATGTTATGACTTTAGATGTTTCATGAGGGTGCCACACAGCACCTATACACACTTTATCATGAGCTTTAAACCGACTGTAGAGTTTTGTGGTCTTCCAGTCCCAGATGTTTAATTTTCCATTCCCATCTCCTGAAATTACATAGCTACAAGGGGGCAAAAAAATTCAATTATTCAAACACCTTAAGTTGGTAAAGTAGAAGAACAGAGAAAGAGTTTATACTTTTTACTATAACAACAACAAAAATCAAAGTAAGCTTATAATGCTCCATGAGACCAGAACATAACAAATTTCAAAGTACCAAACTAAGAGTAACAAAATTAATGCATGAATCCGATAGTATAGCAGGTAAGGCACTTGCCCTGTATGTGGGGAACCTGAGTTTGATCCTTGGCATCCTATATGGTTCTCTGAGCCCCACTAGTAGTAAACCCTGAGCATGGAGCCAGGAGGAAGTCTTGAGCACTACCGGGTATGACCCCAAAATAAAAACAAAATTTCTATTAACTTGGAAAATTCAGAGATCCAGAGGCCACTGATCTCAATGTGTACCTCTAGACCAGGGGAGGGTAATCTTTTATTCTGCCAAGGGCAATTTAAACATATTTAAAGTATTATCAAGGGCCAGGCATAGCTCAGACATGGGAAGCCGACCAGAAGCAACTGTGCATAGTGAAACCAGGCTCAGACACCTTGTTACTTTCTATGGCTTGTGGGTCGGACATTCCCCACTCTTTGCTCTAGACAATCAGAAAGTTCTATCACTGTATCACTGTCATCCTGTTGTTCATCGACTGCCTTGAGCATGCACCAGTAACGTCTCCTTCCTCCTAACCTGAGATTTTAGAAAGTGCCACATTCGAGGCTCTTTCAGGGTCAGGAGAATGAGACCCATCATTGTTACTGAATATGCCATGGGGCGTTTGCCAGACTCTGCCGTGTGGGCAGGATACTTTAGGTAGCCTGCCAGGTACTCCAAGCAAGAACTAGATAATAAAATGTTGCGCGGCCGCAAATGCAGCCGCATGCTTCCAGGAGCTGGGTTTTATAGTCTCTGGGTCTTGGAACTGAGCTCCCGGAAGAGAACAGCACAGAGTCTCCTGACTCCGTGCTGGTTGTCCTCATGGGGGCCCCTCAAAGGAGGCCCCTCCCCACCCCAAGCAGAGCCCTGGCAGCTTAAGACCTCCAGTTCCAGCCACAGCCATGCTTAAGACCACTCTCCCCACGTTTGGATGAGCCTCATGCATGAAGAAACCGGAAGAGGAACCCAGGTGTGTGGGACCTGGGGCACAGATCTCCAAGCCTGCTCAGATTGGGACTGGGCCTCCTCCACCAGATCCACCATCTTCCAGTATGCAGGCGTTACACCCACCAACTGCTCCCGGCACCGTGTAATCCCATCAAAGGCAAGACCAAGACTATAAAACCCAGCTCCTGGAAGAGAACAGCACAGAGTCTCCTGCCTCCGCGCCTGGCTGCCAGATAGTTCTATAGAACCAACAAACATGTGTAGGTCCATCTACAATAGTAGACTATTACCTCCATCAATTTAGAGAGGGGAAACTATTATTTGACTATGTCTAGGACTGACTCAGTGGTGAGAATCTAAGGCCCAATTATACACAAGGTTATAGGATCTGGACTACTTATACCTATGCTTTTTTAGCTAAGCATGGGGAATGAATCTAGAGTTTCATTCTTAAAAAGACTCTAGGTTTCACAAATCAAGTGTGACCTAGAAATGTTCAGAAGCTCAATTTCAGGTGTAGCCCTGAAAAGCAACGGCAAAGTTGTTAAATTCAACATTGCAAAACACGATTCTTTCAATCCCAGCAATATACTGTTAACGGTTGTCCTAGTCTTGTTCAGAAAAAGCAGAAAGACAATAAGGCACTCCCTATACAGACATGGATTTAATATATAGTTAAAGGGTATTGATGCTCTTAAGCCATATAAGGAGACGGAATAAAGAACTTAAAAAAGCAAAATGTAATTTTTATGACTCTTTCCTGCTTTTTCTGGCATCCTGACAACCTGAACAGGTCTCATACAACTATATGTGATTTGTAAATTGTTACAACTGTAGTTTATATAATCATAGTTGAATATGAGACTAGGAGATTTAAACTTACCTCATGTCTGGGGAAAAGTCCACTTGACAGGCATAACCTGCAACCATGTGGCCTTTAAATATTTTTTTCTTATTTAATCTAAATCTGTTCTGTGCTCCAAATATTAAGATTTGGTTATCCATTGATTGGCATGCTAGCCATTTCCCTGTGAATTAAATGAAAATTTTTTTAGAGAAAGAAAAAAACAAAGAGATATTTTATTTTCTAAACATAAGAATGAATTTACCATAGTAATTACAGACTATTATAAATATTTTGTTAGTTAAGAGAGTTATGCTTTAAAAACAATCTAATGGACTTTGCTCATACAGTGCTACTTTACTGAGTACTCGCCATTTAAAGCTCTTTTGGTGGCTAAATAAGGATATACATGAATTTTGAGTTTGGCATTAATATAACTAAAATTTTGTGAGTGTGTAATAAGTATCAACAGAACAATCACAGGAAGGGAAAAAAGACTTGCTCTGTTTTAATTATTTTAGAAAAAGAAAAAAGTAAGTCCAGGTGATAGAAACTAGGATTATTAAGTCAAACTGTACAAAATATGATTTAAAAAAAATTGTAGTGATGCTGAAAGGCCAGGATGCACTGAAGCCCTTAAAAACCTGAAACTGCAGAATGTTTTTGATCCTGTATATACTAGTAGACATTAAACAGTATTCACAGTTGAAGTGGGTAAATAGCCTTGTTGAAGATGGGCCTAATATTTGTAATGGATGGCAAATACACCACAAGGGGCTAAAGAGTAAGTCAAGCTTCGAATGTAGGAGACCTGGTTTCAACCCTCAGCACTGGAACAGGGGTTGGCCCCAAACTAAAAGAAAACCAAGCCAAACAACAACAACAACAACAACAACAACAACAACAACAACAAAAGAACCCAGAGCACATGAACTACGATGTAGTGCCAAATGTGAGAAAATATCTAATATGATTAGAACAGCTCTCTCCTGAAAATCATTTGGCATCTGACAAAAGATTACCAGTTTTACTGCAGCAGCTGTCCCAAAGAGTCAACTATCTGCTGCCTTCTCTTGCTCTACATTCACAGAAGCCATGAGGTGATAGTGTTAACAATGTGGTCCAAACATCAAATCCTCCCCTTTCATACCATCATGTAGAGTTGTAATCACGTCAGTATATGGTTATTTGCTCTAGTACAAATTACCCAGTATTTAAGAGGTAATGGATCACTGAGTAGAATACATTATTACAGATTTATCTTTTTATTTTCACCGGAGACCATTTTTAATAGTGAATTGCTAAGGTGTTCTCAGTATGGGAAATCAGACCAAAATTTTCTATCCCTGAAAGAAAAAGAGCTCACAATAAATTTACTAAAAGAATGGCTGAACATGATTATGCTTGAAGAATTATTAGGAAAAAAAAACCCACCCACTTCTCACTTGAAAGATGCCTAGTTAGTTACAAATCAGTTTTTCTTTTATGTTTGACAAACTTCCCTTGGGAGGGTAGGGCCACATACAGAAACCACACTGTGTCATAGAAGCACATTCACAAATATGTATCTAGTAACTCACCGTTTGGAGATAAAGTCACTGCAGGCATAGAGTGCATACTGGGTTCTGCTATATACTTAAAATCCACAGGGATGTCCCTAAAAATTAAAAATAGTACAGCAGAATAAATAAGTTTAAAAGGCCCCCCTGAGAAGAATCATTTCAAAACAAAGGGGGCATTCCTGAAATTATATATTTTAAGAAACCTTTAATGAAACTGACTGAAAGTCACAGAATGAAATTCTATTGCTTATTTTAAATCATTAACTTCACAAATGACTTTCTGTGATAACAATGTTCTACTTTTCATTTTAAAACTGTATTTGATTTTAAACTTTGGCCTTTACGTTAAAAAAAAATTCTGTTACTAACAGTTGCTTGATAATGAACTAACTCGTCTAAAATGCACCCTTGGTAGCTAATGAAGTTGTCTGTGGCAAGCCCACGGGGAAGTGTCTTACTTTTGCCTGCCAGTCAGCCTTAACTGGTTCCTCTGCAAACAGCTGAGTACAAAGGGCCCTCAGCAGTGCAAGTGGATGGCAGGTAAAGCTCAACAGGATTTGCAAGCAAGTCGAGTTCATTCAGAAACAGATTTCTAGATTGATAAGGGAGATTAGGTACTTGAAGTCTGGGCAACTGCTGCTGCTTCTTTCTTTTTCCTGGGCAGAGGCATACCTGGCAGTGCTCAAGTCTTAGTCCTGGGGGTGCTCGTGGGAATGTATGGGGTGCCCGTGGGAATGTATGGGGTGCCAGGGATCGAACCATATGGGTGCTGGCTGTGTGCAAATCAAGCGCCCTAATTACTGTACTGTCTCAGGCCCCGTGGGAAGCTTCTATTTTCAATTTATAAGTATTCCAAAAGTGGGTAATTCAGGAGAAGGGCATTGAGAAAAATCGCAGGTGAGTAAAACACAGGATAAAAGGAAAACAAAAACAAAACTAGTCGCCTAAATACTGATCCATCATTGGAAGCCGTAACTGCCTTTTTATCTTGGCCACTGGCCATAATAAAGACACTGTGGTGGTGGTGAGGTGCAGTTACACTGCATGCTGAAAGCCTAAATGTTACCACACCCAAAACCAAGTTACCTCAGTAAAAGTAACACTAAAAAAAAAAAAAAACACCCCAAAACCAAAAAACCTTTTAAGTAATTTTGAAGTATCTTGGTCTTGTTGTTTTTCATGAGAACAAATGTTTTTTTAATGTGTAATAAATGTAATCTAATGAGTAGCACAGACTATGAGATAGCGATTTCAATTCCAAACTCAGGTACAAGATTGGAAAATAATAATTTGCCTTTGGTAAGGGTTTTCTCTATTGATGTAACCAACCAGAAGAAAAAACTTCTGTCATCATCTTGACTAGAGAAAAAGTTTCAGTGAACAGAATTATTTGATAAATATCCAACCCTTAACACTGCTAAGGTCCCAGGTAGGAAATGACATTTAGAATGAAAAAAAAAAAAGTGTTAAAACACTTCAATCTGGAAACGGTTTGATCATTGCCCCCTTCCTGATTTAATTACTGTGGCTAATAATTTCATAACATGAGTTAACATGAGGGGAGGACATTTTTCAAACTAAAACAGACCAGGTTCACATCAATGAATGATTTACTAAAACAAAACAAAACAAAAAAACAAAAAAAACAAAAACAAAACAAACAAAAACCAAAACCTTACAGAGGCCCCCTTGTTTCGACTCTTGGTACAATGAGATCTAGGATTCAAAACTGAATTTGAACATACTATGGATTTTATTTCTTCTACTAAAAACGCCTGCTAGGCTGTTATATTTTTAAAAAAAAATCACTTTCCTAATTAAGAAGGATTTCAACATTATATGCTAAAAACTCACATTTCACAAAGAATCCTTAGTTCAAAAATTAAGTACTTGAAGGACTGAAGTGACAGTATATCAGGTTGGGCACCTGCCTGCACATGGCTGACTGTGTTTGATCCCTGGCATCCCATATGGTCCCCTGAGCACTGCCAGGAGTAATTCCTGAGTGCAGAGCCAGGAATAAGCTTTGAACATTGCTGGGTTGTTCTACCCCCGCCCCCCAACCAAGAAACTACTTTTAAAAATAATAAAAATCTTTAGAGTTTTGAAAAGATAAATAGTACTGTCAATTTTTGCAAAATTGCCATTTCTTGGTAAATTGCCTTTACACCCATCAGTGCTTATGGGTCATTCCTGGTGATGCTTAGGGAACCAAATGCAGTGCCAGGACAGACCCAGGCCTTCCACAGGAAAATCACAGGCCCAACCCATTGAGCTATAGCTCTTCAGCTCTGAAAAATATTTGTACAGAATAAATGTCTTCACATATCTATGAAATTTCAAGGATTTATTAGAAACTTAGAAAATCAGAGATTACTAAATATCTCATTTTACTCAATTCAAAACTCTAACATAATCTGTACAGTACTGTTTAATCAAACCAAATGTTTTGCATATTTGCTCTCCTTTCACTATATAATAAAGGGCATGAGTTTGGCAAACACTACTATGAAGACAGTTTTCCTATTGCTGTGGTCAGTTCTGACTTGGAGGTGGAAGGGCCTCCCCTCTCTTCCATTCAAGCTGCCAATACTGTTACCAAACTGACTTTAAGAGGGGATGTGGCTCTATGAGAGTACATGCCTTGTAACTGTGAGGCTCTGGCTTCGAGTCACAGGAACACGAACACACACAGACACATACACACACACACACACAGATTTCTGGGGCACTGTTCGTGTTGAGGGATCTTTCTGGGAACTCTGAGGTGGTTTTCTATTCATGTGATCTTCACATTTATTCCTTCCAGACCCATCAAGCAAGAGACAAACTTCTTTTTTCTTTGCACTGGGCGAGAGTCATTCTATGACTCTCTATTCTACTGTCAAGATGGTGGGAATTTTTACAATGTGTACATATATTGAATCATTATGTTCTACACTCAATATATCACAATTTTTTCAATCACATGTCAAAAAGGCTAAAAACAAATACATTTAAAACAACCCCCTTCGAATTAGGCTTTGGAAGCAACTTGATTTATGTTTGAATTCTGGGCCTTTCATATCCTACAGAACCTCAGGCAAATGACTTCATCTAACTTGGATTCCTTTTCTGAAAGGGACTGACAAATCTACCGAGTTCACAAATGGCTCTGTGCATCAGCTGCAGCAGCTCACATAAAATGCTCAGCCTGTGCTGCACACAAAAAGGGCTCGAAAAATAAGTATCATTAGTAACTATGACCACTTAGCTATAACTATATAACTATACACACTTAGCTAGTCAGTGTGTATTGTGGGCTGGTGGTGGGGCCAGATGGAGAACATGACTGCCAATGCTTTCTCTCCTGCTTAAGAACTTGTCAGGGAAGAGGAAAATAAGCCCGCACTAAAATAAGAATGCCACAAGCTGCAGCAAGCAAAGGGCAGTGTGGGATGCGTGGATGACAGAGGGGAGGCACCTGTTCTCTCGGGTGGATGGAGGCGGTGGCTCTGCCTTTGGGTGAGGGCATTGCCAGCAAGTCAGAGTACTGACTTCCAGAGTATTCCTAAGCTCTGACCCGTGAAAACAAGACAACATGCTAACTTCACCTCTAATTTAGTACAAATTATTTTGCTGGTCTCTATTCTATTTTAGAAGACATAAACTGCTTTCTTCAAGCTGTTAATTGGTGCAGCATTTAAGAATTTACCTATTTCTTTTATGCTATCCCCTACTTAAAAATATACTATTACCGGTGACAGAAATATAAAAAAGTTAACTATAAGCAAACTATTAAAGAAAATAAAATAATCTCCATAGAGTTATGCAGATGATTTAAGGTGTGTCATATGAAACTTGGTGTCTACCAGATTCTCTGCCTTTAGCCTCATTTCTGAGGCCAGGAAGATCTTATATCTTATATCTTGAGTTACAAGATAGACTTGAACACTGACCTGAAGAATGATATCAAGGTAATATATAAAATACAGTCAATTCTACACTAACTGGGGGTAATTTGGAGGGGTGTAGTGGTGGTTAGGGTGGGAGAAAATGCAACTGACTCACAAAAGTCTTCAATTATCCAAATTGCCCTGACAATGGATAAGAAACTGCTCCAGTTCCCAAAGGGCTCCTTTTCCTAGAGGAATCTATAGCCTGCAGTTCAAGGCTTTCCATGTTCTAAAGCAGTCCATTTTCTGTGTCTGGAAAGTCACCCAGGTGGAGTGGTGCTTCTAAATGATGAGAAAAGCAAAATGGGTTTTATACAAAGGTTTTTTTTTGTTTCTTTTTGGGCCATACCTGGTGATGCTCAGGTGTAACTCCTGAATCTGCACTCAGGAATTACTCCTGGCAGTGCTTGGGGACCCACATGGTAAAAGACAAAAGATTTGTATGATCTAAAGAGAAGCCAGAATATTGGGAAACCATTTGGGATGTTTATGATTGAACCCAGGTCGGTTACATGCAAAGCAAGCTCCACATCTGCTGTACTATCTCTCCAATCCTGCAAACATTCTTTTTAACAAAAATATTATTATGAACTTCATTGCAAATAAACTATGGAACATGAAAATAGCTTTATAATTCTTCACCAGGAAAATAAAACCTATTCAATATATGCTGAAGATATTCTACAAATAAATTTTGTTTTCAGTACTGAATAAGCATAATGAAGACATTAAAAAAATTAAGGCACTTCTCAATATTTTCTTTGGGTTGGGTGTGATGTCAAGATCTAATGCTCCAGCCCTAGTGAAATCAATGCAGTCTATTCATTTGTGGCCCCTAGTTCTCAGTCTTTCTTAACAAAGAATGTAAAACAGTAAGTATAAACTATGTACTACGAGAAATATCAATCAAAATACATACCCTTCAGATAGACTCTCCCAAGACTATGGAAAATAGCACGTTTACGTTATCTTCATATTCTGGATATTTAGTTACAACAATTTCCCAGGTAAGCCAGACAGCACAGGTGTGTAAATATTCAAATGGTGGCATATTATCAGGCTTTGCCTTGTCTACATATTTTTAAATTGTAATCTATTTTTATTTTACTGAAACTCACCATTCCCAAACTCTTAAGCTCTTATCATCAGATGTGCTCACGAATCTCCTATTCTCATCAACAAAAACAATGGTGTTGACAGCTCCCAAATGCCGATCATATTCCTGTACAATTTCTCCACTTCGAATGTCCCACTGTGTATCAAACAAGAAAAAAGGAAAAGACAAAGGGGAATCAGATTTATAAAAATGAATACTGAGGATAATTAATGGAAAGTGGAAAAAGAAAAGATCTCTGACATGTTTCTATGAAATTACTTTTTGAACTAGATTAGAACATTAGTAGTCCCTAAAAGCAGCAAATCTTAAGCAAGTTAATATATTCCTTATTCCATCTTCTGATACAACCGAAAGCTTAGGAATCTTAATAAAAATACTACAAAAAAGAAAGATAGGGCCAGGAAGATAGATTGAGTGGCAGAGCATATGCTAAGCATGTGCAAACTTCTGGGTTCAATCACTGGCACCACATGGCCCCTAAGAACTCCTGGATGTAGCCCTGGTGGTCCCTAAGTACCACCAGGTGTGGTTTCTATTAAACAACAACAACAAAAGGCAAAACTTACTTGCACAATCTTTTTATCAGACATTCCAGCCACAAAGAGATTTTGCTTATCTTCATCAGGATTAAATTTGACACAGTATGGTACTTTTCGGTTTGTAAATCTTGATATACATTGTCCTACAACCAAAAATCCAAGTTAAACCAGGTAATATAAATGTCACCACTCAAAGGACAACCCTACTTAAGAGCCAGAGATCATCAGCTTAATAGATTTTGAGGACTGGCAGGCTGCTTGTTTTACTATAAATCACTGTTTCTGTCCAGAATTTTAATTAAAAATAATTTTTTCAAAAGTAAATCTGTGTCATCAAATCTGTAGAATAAAGCTCTCCAGTGATTCTGACGTGCAGCTAGAGAAGAGTTAAGAAAGGCAATGAAAATGGAGTCTGCATTAGAAAAGGTATGGTTTGAACTCTATTCCATACTGAGCTGTGTGTGGGATCCAGGAAAAGTTAGCCCCGTAAGCCTGCTTTCCTCACTGATAGTAATAACAGTATTTATCTCATAGGGAGACTTGATAGATCCAATGAAATACTGCCAGTGTAAGTATTTATATAATCCTGGGACGCCCTAAGCGTTCAATATACATTAGCTCTTCTTGAAATAGTGAAATAAAAGATGGCTCTCTAATTACATCAAATCATAGTAAACATTAATGCTGATGCAATTATTATCTGCGACTATATAAAATCAAAGAGGTTTTTAGAACTAGATTTCCATCAATTTGGGCAATGCCGTTTCTGCTCTTCAGATATCAAGCTTGTATTACATGTAATGCACTGTGCAAGGTGAGGTGAAAAACATCAATAATTTATGGAAGATTTCAAATTTGCTTAACTTTTATTTATGCCTACTTTATAAGTGGTATCTGGTGGAAACAGAGTTTTAACTGACAGAGTTACTTATATAGCTGAATTTCAACTCAACCAGTATATTTTTTTTCTGGTGTCAGTGGACAGTGGATGGTATGGAAATTAGAAATTTGAGAAGGTATCATTCTGCCACAGAATAATGTCTCTCACATGGTTTCACTTATAAATGTCAATTACCAAGATACATTCATGTTAGCTTTAGTGAACTCTTACCTGTCTCGGTGTCCCAGAGTTTAAGGTATCTGTCATAAGCTGCACTGAGGAACTGAGTCCCTGCAGTATTAAAGCAAATGTCTCTGACAGCTTTACTGTGACCTAGAGGCAGAAACAACAGGCATGAAGAAGAGCGAAAGCGTCTTCTCATAAAAACCTAAATATCACCAGGGAAACAGCATGACACAGTAGTTTTCAAGCCATGCTGTGAGTCAAGATTGCCGGAACCCCATCCTGTGATTCACTGACTCAGAGTGTTATATGTATAGGCTGCAAAAGGTAGGCGGGTCCCCCACCCTTTCCACAAGCTCTTCAGATGATTCTGATGCACTGCATTTAGGTATGAACCAAGAGAAAAGATGCAACTTCTTTTTCCCCTTTGAATTTGCCATGGCTATCACAATATGTAATGCATACAAAGAAAGACTAGACAGTAAAGAACTTAAGGAAACCTCATGGGCCACTTATTGTCAAGAAGAGAAATGACCATCTCAGATTTCTCACCAAGCACATGAAGTAAGCAAAGTGACTTATACCTAACATTTGTGAAATGCTATTTTGTTCAGTAACTATTTCTCAGATCATATAACCATCTTTCATAGAAATGGATTCAGATTTGAGACCGATTTTTTCTTTTTGAAAAAAAAAATACTAACTTCTACTTGGTTTTAAGATGACCTCTTGACAGTTTGTTTATTTTAAGGTGCTTTTGCTTTGATATCCACCTTGCCAATTCAATCAGCTCTTCAAAAAGTTGCAGAGACTAGAGATTCATGACTAAATATACCCATTTCCCCCTCCCTCCCCAAATCAGGATCGCCACCAATGGTGTAGGAATGTGCATGATATAAATTTCACCATACACAAAAGCCGTGAACTACTTTTGCTATCAGTGAACTCTATAAGGGCAGGAGTCCTGGTCCGTGCTACCTTCATCTTCCTAAATAGCAAAGTTTTTGTTTTCTACTGACAAACTGCCAGGGCAAAGGAATGATAGGGAACATCGCTTCTCTTGGGCTGCATCATGAGTAGTATCCACTTGTGCAGTGAGGCCCTAGAATCACAGTTACCGAAGCACTGCAGAATGGACTGCCATCTGAATCTAAAGACAAGAGTCACTACAACTCACACCAATAGTGTTTCAGTGCAGTGCTCTTAAGTTTGGAAATGTTACTAGCTTTCCCACAAAATCTGACAGACAATAAACTATTCTCTATCAAAAAGGCTAGGAAGTCACTGAGCTACTTTCTTTTTGGTCCTCGTTCTTCGTTCAGTCTCCATTTCATTCTTTTCTATTTTTAAATTCCCAACCTCTTTTCCAAGTTGACTATCTGGGTAAATACTTGCTTACTGGACTTTTTCATCTCACTGTCATGAGGTGGCTTCAACCTGTCAGAAACCTCATCGTCCTTTTGTTTGTTTCTCCAAGCTACTTCCAGAGGTGCTGTGGGACTCTGTGGTACTGGGAACTAAACTGGGGGGCTCCAGCATGCATCCCCACCCTTTGAGCTATCGATCCAGCAGTTTATTATTCTTTTTTGGGGGGAGGGCAGGGTTGGGCTGCAACAGGCTGTGCTCAGAGTTTACTTTTGGTTCCGTGCTCAGGGATCACTCCTGGTGGGTTTCAGGAGACCACGAGTCGTGCCTAGGATAGAACCAGGCTCATCCACGTGAAAGGCAAGGGCCTTACCCTATATTTCATTTCTCTGACTCCCATCCGATAGCACAGCGGTAGGGCGTTCGCCGAGTTCGATTCCTCCGCCCCTCTCGGAGAGCCCGGCAAGCTACCGAGAGTATTTGATATGCCAGACACAGTAACAACAAAGTCTCCAATGGAGACGTTACTGGGCCCGCTCGAGCAAATCGACGATCAACGGGAGGGCCTGACTCCCATCATCCTCTCATGGTCCCTCTCACAGTGAATTCATCTAGCCAGCTGAGCAATCCTAGATTTTTGCCTCATGTTTCCCAAGCATTTTCAGGTACTAAGCCTCACTGGATCATTCCCTTCCTCTCCATTTTTGCAGCTCTAGCTCGAGCTCTCATCTCTATTCTAGACCAATAAAATAATCTTGCAATTCATTTCCCTGCCTCAGGCCTCTGCTGCCAAAGCAGCCTCTATATTACCATTGTGAGCTTCTTCAACTTCAAATCTGATGCTGTTGTTTCCTGTAAGAGCAGTTTAATGGCTGGCAGCCTCAGGGACCTCCAGATACAATTAACTCCCAATTAATGGTACACAAGGTCCTTCGCAGTCTACCTGCCTCCCACTACACAGCATTTCTTCTTTCTCTCACCATATCCCACACCCTGGCAATTTGAAAACACCTTTACTTCATCCAAAACAGCATATCTTCTCACACCACTTTTGTTTCTTTTGCTTTCTCTTCCTAGTTCTCTTTATGTGAGATTTACTCTCCACTTGAAAAAATGGACTTATTCTTGATTTTTTCATGTCAGGGTGGTAAAATAACTGTCAATGTCACCTTAGTTTACAAAGTTGTCCCACACAGATTTATAGCAGAAGAGAGAAGCAGCATTACCAATAAATGTTCGCAGACACCGTCTGTCTCCATAAACCTCCCACAACTGGGGGGAAAAAAAAACAACACATGTAAATAATAAATTTAATATGAAACTAAAAACAAATGGTAACTTTCAGTTAATAACAACCGTCCTTATGCCAGCTATGTGACTGCCTATCGTGTGTGTAGAAGAGACCGACCAAAGGCATTAGACATCCCTAGACATAAACTAATGTGACTGTATTGTATCTAGGTATTAGCATCTTTACTGTACTATTTAGAATACATATACACACCTACAACTTTGAAATCTGCTTTTATATGATAAAAGACATACAAACGCATCAAGAGAAAGTATGCTAACAGAGATTTTCATTTTGTTTTCTGTGTGTATGTACACAGATAAACTTATGGACAGAAATATGAAATATAGACATAGCTATTTACTCACTCATCTAACTAGCTATATCTATTTGCCTATAGATAAGCAGGGTTTTTTTTTTCCTCTCTCCCGTAGTGTTAGGAACTGAATCCAGGGTCTAACACTAAATGAGGTAACTGGCCTCCATTGATGTATTTTTATACAATGAAAAATTTCCATTACTAATATCCAAGAGGAGGGTAAAAAGGGGCCAGGAGGATAGGTCAATGGTTAGAAGCTTGCTACAAGTGTGTGTGGGAGGTGAAGGGCACAGGTATAGGTTACCTGATAACCTTTCATTATCTGTATTGCAAACCATAAGGCCCAAAAGGAGGGTGATGGAAGGAAGGGGAGGGGAGGGGGGATGGGGAGAAGGGAGAGGGGGAGAGGGAGAGAGGGAGCGAGGGCAGGGAGAGAGGGAAAGAGGGAGGGGGAAGAGAATGGAGAGGGAGAGGGAGAGAGAGAGAGAGAAGGAGTGCCTGCCATAGTGGCAGTCAGTGGGGGTGGTGGTGGGAGGGAACTGGGAACACTGGTGGTGGGGAAGTATAATGGTGAAAGGATGGGTGTTGGAACATTGTATGACTGAAATCCAATCATGAACAACTTTGTAAATGTGTGTATCACTGTGATTCAATTAAAAAAATAGAAAAAAAATTATTTTGAAGTTTCCATTTATGTAATATGACTACCCTTTTGTGTGTTGGTGGGGGTTGGGAGGATAGAACCCAGGGCCTCACACATGTAGGGCAAGACATTTTTAGTGAAGTAAAATATATATATATATATTTTTTTTTTGGCTTTTTGGGTCACACCTGGCGATGCTCAGGACACCATATGGGATGCTGGGGATTGAATCCGGGTTGGCCACGTGCAAAGAGCTCTACCCACTGTGCTATCGCTCCAGCCCCCTGAGAAATATAAGTGGCGATAGAGATGTGTTGAAAGAGAACATGGGCTTCTCTGGAGGGGAAAAAGCCATGAGCTACTTTTAGAACAATGAAATGTTAAGACAGCAGCAATGTTTGTCAAACTTTCGTACTGAAAGATCTTTTATTTGTTGGAACTTGTCTGAAGTCACAATACTACAGAAGCTGCTGAGACTGATGACCGAGATGCATTAATCTAAATTAACAGGCTCATAATTTTTATCACCTTTAAAAGCAAATTAATAAAACTTTAGAATTTCCTTTATTCTTGCCTGCCTGAAGTTCAATCCTCAACCAGGTTTCTAGTTACAGAGAGCATTTCCTAGCCACCGAGGATCAGCAGGATCAAGTCTCATTTCCCCTATCAAACCAGGCAGAGGCCTCTAGGACCAGGTCACTTGCAAAGAGTGAAAGCCATTCTGTCTCTCAATTTTAAACTGGCAACCACACTATTTGTTTTCAGTACTCACCATGCTGATTCATTCTATTCACTTTTCCCAGACATCCTTTGCTCCCTACCCATCCTCTACTTTGCTACACCCTTACCGAAGTACAAGCTTCCTCTTTGAAACTGTGCCTGCCTTTATAATTATCACTCACCTTGTAATGAAAATGATCACCCTAAAGCAGGATCTTAATCAGGTTTTACTCTCAGCCCCTTGCTCACAATAGATGCCTAGTAAATGTTTATACAAGTCAACTACACTAAATTCTACCCATTTTTATTGGTCAAAGAGAAGGCCATAATCTCAATGAAAGTGTGTAGTAAGTGAAAGTTAAAGGAAATAAGGGGGGTTGTGGTTGTTGTTTGAGGGCCACACCTAGCACTGCTTAGGAGTTACTCCTGGCTCTGCACCCAGGAATTATTACTGGAGGTGCTTGGGGGAACATCTTGGATGCCGGAGATGGAATTTAGGTTGGCTGTGAGCAAGGCAAATGCCCTATCCTCTATACTATCTCTCAGACCCCTAAAGGAAGTAAGGACCTCCCAGCAAAATTTGGGGTTGGCGGCTACTATCTGTGATACTCTGCCATATCCAGCAGTGCTCAGGGGCCACCAGGGCTATACCCAACAGTTGGGGGTAAGTAGTGCTGGGATCTAACTCAGTGCCTTGTGCTTCCCATCTCTTTCATGGCCCTAGAGAAAATGAGGGTTTTCACTGAAACTTGTTAGTCTCATGTGAAGTTACTAGAGATAAATGTTTAAATGGCCACTCTCACATCAGAAGAGCTATTCATATATGTTAATATCCATTAAGTAATTATTTAATTAATGGACAATTAATTACCCATCCATTAATATCCATTAATTAATAGTAAAAATTTAATGATTCAACTTTCCAAATCCCAAGAACACTGTAGTGTTCCTTACCATCATAATAATTTGGACACTGAAGACACAATATTGTGTAAGAACCACTCTTTCAGATTTAGGAGGATTCTTCTTCTTTTAAAAAATAAAAAGTTCCCCTCACATTCTAATCAATATGCAGTGATAACTGAATTTTTCTTACCACATAGTTTACAGCTGACCATCAGCTAAAGGTGTTATATTCCCAAGACTCTAAAAAAGTGGGAAAAGAGGCTGGAAACAGTTCTGTGGCTCAGTGTCTATTTGCATTTGCATTTACAAGAAAAAGGATGAATTGTTATCTGTTCTCTTAAAAATGGGATTTCTGTCATAAAGTCCTCATTATTTCACAAGATTCTGTGGAACAAATGTACCCAGTTACACATCCAAACTTTTACACAAATGCATTAGGGGTGATTAAATATTTATGTGTCTAAAGCCAAAAGTGATTGATTACATTCTAGCCAGTTATCTAACTAAAAGAGTCCAGCCAACTGAACCAAAGAGCCATGTTTCAATCAGCACGTTTGGAAGCAGTTCACAGACTGCTTCATTCACAAGTCCTAAGAGAATATAATTAGCCACTAATTGCCTAACAATTCCAAATTTATTGTAATTAACCAAATAAACTTAACCAAAACACTAGTTTTGCAATGCTCCAATATTGTTGCTGAAAACTCACCTTGATTTTACAGTCCATGGAACAGGACAGCAGTAAGTGGCCAGACAGAGGAAATAATCTGACTGCACTGACACCCTGTAAGAAGATGGTCAAAAAACAGAAGTGGACAAAATACATATCTAAATGAAACATGAGGAAAAAGTATAGATTTTTAAGCAATTTACTATTTTTCCTTCATTCTTCCCCACCACCACCAATCATGCCCCAGAATAACCCTCATTAGCATTTCAAGAGCAGCCCATATTGACACAAGGCTTTTCTTTAAATTTTAATACTGTTCTTTAAATTTTAATACTGACAACTTCCTCACTCAAGGGAGTTCTTAGTCTACCAAGCTGCTAATGCCCTTACTCTTCTTTCTAGTAAGCTGTTCCTTTGCTCTCTGCTAAGAGCTAGAAATGATCAGCTAGAATAGTGCAGATGAACATCAACATCAAAGTTTTTGACTATTTCATCTCAGCATTAGTTTCAATTTCATTGTCATTAATAACCAGAAAGCATGTAATCTTTGAAATGTGATACCCCCCTCCCCCCAAATTATGCCAAAATTACAGAGGCTTGGGTGCTAGTATCAATTCTTGCTAAAATTGGTGCCCCAGGGGAAACTAACTGTGGCAGGAGCTGGGGAGAGAAGGCCGAGGCCACCATAAGGGGACCAGACAATGAATGCTTTAAGTCACTGCCAATCCTGATGGCCTTGAAGACTGACAAGTGTCTTGAAATGGGCTTCTGTGAGAACTTCCAAAGCTGAACTCAGGTTGATCTTCACAAACTGAAGACAGAGAAGTGTGTCTTCAAGTTCTTACATCTTTAGCAAAATTCTAAATACTCCACAGGAATGGCTAAAACTTTATACTGATCTCATTACATGTTAAATCAAACAGAAATAACCAGTTTACCTTTGTGTGTCCAGACCACACATGAATTTGTTTTTTTGGAAGATAACACTTCTCAGGTGGGATAGTTGATCGTAGATTGACACCAACATCCTGAGGTATGTGAAGATAGGACCTCCCCTGATAGTCATACATTTCTTTAACTGAAATGAGGCAAAGGAGAATAGTGAGCCAGAAAATCTACATTCTTCAGATGCTAGCCATCATTTCATTCACAGGGATGCCATTCACTATGCTTACCACTATACCAGCAAATGTGGACCTCATTCCATATGAAGTAGTAAGAAGTCTACACTCAGATGATGGTAAGACAAACGTCAGCTAAAATTTAGCTGTCTAAAACCACTACTATTTACAGAGAAGGGATCCTGGAATTTCAAAGTACCCAGAGAATTAGAACTTTAATAAATCTATACTTCTTTTATAGTTATATATTTTAATCAATAAAGTAAAAAAAAAAAACTACTTCACTACAGTGTAATTACAGTGAAAGAACCAAAGATAATGCTTAGGATTTTTGAGTTACTGGCAAAGAATGAGAAGCAAAACAAGATAAGAAGGAAGCTATAACAAAAGAAAAAGTATCAACTGTTTTTCCATTCTTTTCTCTTTTTATGTCCTTTTAGGTTCCTTTTCTATTACAGCACATTTCTATTACAACTTTTACAAAAAAGACTTGTGGAAATTAAACACCATCGTGCATATAAAGCATGCTTACACAGGGTACATGTTCAGTAAATGTTGGCTGTTATTGTTAATATTAACTCAGGATGAAATAAACTCCTTGCAGATAATATCAGACTTGAGAAACTAAATGTGCCTTAACAAGCTAAACAGCTAAAACCTAAATATGTGATATAGCAATAGAATAATCAATACAAATATAAATGAATTATTCATTCCAGTTTCAGATAATCATAGCCCATTTTCCTAATTGCAACTACTAATTATTGAACTGGGTACATTCAAGAATATTTATGATTTATTTTGGTGGCTAAGCTATTTCCTTTCACAAGTCAAAGTATATGTGAGACTTAAATATCTGACCTATTCACATGTAAAATAAAGTTTATTCTATCAAAGTATAATTTAACAATAGTTATGAACTATGAATATACCTTGAGACCATTTATCTTGGGATAACTAAAAAGCTTAAAGTGACTGAAACACTATAAACAGCCGAAAAAAAAGAAGTCAGTTTTGTATTAGGGAATGAAAGACTGCACTATTCAGGTTTCTTCTTTACCTCTCACATTTAACCCCAAGTGCTAGGGACTGAATCTAGGTTCTATGCATGCCAGGCAGGCAGTCTGCCACTGAGCCATATTCCTCAATTTTATCATTTTTGGTTTTGAATTATAAGCATTTCAAAAAGTTATCTGTGGCTACCTTTATTCATGCTATTTTCTATCCTGTATCAGAACATAGAAGAGTTCTCTGTAATTTCTTAGGGATATAAACCTTCTAATATAATTCTTACTATAAGTAATTCTAGCAAATGATTGGTAAGGGCAACTGATACTGAAAGAGAAGAAATAGTGCAGAGGGTAGGGTGCTTGCCCTGCTCATGGCTGATCTGGGTTCAACCAACCCCAATACCCCATATGATCCCCCAAACCTGCCATCATTAATGTGGGCTTGGAGGACCTTGAATACAGAGCCAGGACTATGCCCTGAACACCACTGCTACAAAACCATCCAAAAAGAAGGGCAGTATCTGAAAGTCATAAAAATGAAGGATTTAAAATAATGTCTCACCATGCAAGATTGTCTTTTCCTCTCCAGGTTTCTCATCCTCTTGTTTGCCTTTTTTCTGCCTCTTTGCTGTGATTTCATCCAATTCTTTTTGTTCTTCCTAAAGCAATCAAGAGGTGAATTTTAACCGGATGCTCTAGAACCCTATCATACTTGGAAGTCACTAGGATCAAGTATGTCTTCCAGGATAAATATGAACTCTGACAAGTTACAAATTGATGTTAAACACATAATGAGTACTAGGTAGTACTTTACATCACACTTAATACAAAATCCATCCTTCTACAACACCTATATATAAACTAGTTATGCAAGTGAAAAAAGGCAATTAGAAAATCTAATAGCACTGCACTGTAGCACTGTCGCCTGGTTGTTCTTCGATGTGCTCGAGTGGGCACCAGTAAGGTCTCTATTGTAAGATTTATTGTTACTGCTTTTGGCATATCAAACATGCCATGTGGAGCTTGCCAGGCTCTGCCATGCGGGCAGGATACTCAAAGGAAACAGAATTTCAGAACACAATGTTGTTTGTCAATAATAAGTTTGACATAGTTATAAGGCAATAAACAATGACTAGATCTGTCACCACAGCTTTATGAGAGAGAAACAGTGGGAGGGAATAGGGTGGTAGCAAATCTTTATAAGAAAACCAACAGATGATTGCTAAAATAAATAACACATGAATAGTACTGATCTAGTAAAGTACGCTATAGCTAAAAGGTAAGCTTCCTGATGATAAGAATTTCTTAAATTGTCTCTGGCTGCATCACTAAGACCCAGAAAAGTGACTGGAGCGTAGAGACAGTAGAATTAGGAAGAGAGGAGAAACAGGATAGAATTTTACGATTTCATAGCATTATTTCTTATGTTAATATCAAAAAACTTCACATCATTTAAAAAAGTTATATATATCAGTTTGATAATAATTTTACAATAAAGAATTAAAAGCTTCCACCAATTCTAAAATCACAGAGACAGACTCATTTTGTAGTCATAATCTGAATATTTTGAATCAGAAAAGCAGCCACCAAAGCAGCTTAATAGCTAATTTTTAATAAAAAAAAGTGATCAGTATACAAAAATTGTTCAATGTTATGTTTTAATTCACAAGTATAGAAAACTACATACAAGTGTTCAAAAGAGAAAATCATATTGTATTTTAAGAGAAATTTCGATGAGTCATATTGTCTAAGGAAATTTCAAATTGATTAAATTTGCTATTTAGTTATTCTTTACCAAGACACAGCATATACCAGAACTGATAATGAAAAACACTAAAGCTTACTTCTGAAGGTTTGGCAACATCTTTTTCATCTACATATTTTGCCCAAGGTCCCAAGAAACCATCAATATTAGACGCATCATTTTCTTTGAACTTTTTTCTCTTCTCTATTTTCTTCTGACCAGTTTCAAAAACAGTTAAACCTGAAAAAAAGTAAGGTTCACTAAATTGCAGTATATGTGTGTATGTATATGTATATATATTACATATATATATTATTTCCCAATGTTATTTATATTGTTTAAAATAAGTGATCAAAAAACACTGACTATAAAAATCTTTATAAATATACCAGATATACCAATGACTACTAATACAATCACTGGGATTCAATTTCTGGGCCAGAACCTTTTGCTATTAACATATTTTGCAAATTCTAATATGCTGAAACAAGATGAAAATATATAATCCTTCATAATCTTATCAATAAATCAGATTTGAATCAGTACATTTTTTAACTACTTTTTGAAAGAAACCTAGAATTTCACATTGCTAAATAATGATAAACTTCCATTCAGAAGAAACTAAGATTTAACATGTAAAAATTGAGTTAACTAACTTAAGTATTTATCTTTGCTTCACTTCAATATAAATAGGGTTTCTTAAGAATCCAGTATTCTTTCCAATTTAAACATAAATTTAGATTCTTCACTCTTAAGATGGTCTCTAATAAAGCTTAAGAGTAAAAGGTGGGGTTGGAGAGATAGCACAGTGGGTAGGGCATTTGCCTTGCACACAGCCGACCCAGGTTCGATTCCCAGCATCCCATATGGTCCCCTGAGCACTGCCAGTAGTGATTTCTGAGTGCAGAGCCAGGAGTAACCCCTGTGCATCGCCGGGTGTGACCCAAAAAGCAAAAAAAAAAAAAAAAAAAAGAGTAAAAGGAAAAGAGGAGAGGAAATAAATGTTCGCTTCTGGTTGTGGTATCAATTTAATTAGCCAGGGGGTGGGAGATTGCATTCACCATATGAAAAAAGAAAGGTTTAGGGGAAATGATGCTCACAGTGAACTGCGAACTAAAATTTTAGTTATGAGAGAGAGAGGGTCCATCCTAGAGAAAGGATCTTGACCATAGTAATGTAAATCCATTTTCTTCAAATTGTGTTTTACACAAAAAATTGTTAAAATTGTTTTACACAACAGAATTCACACACCATAGTCCCTACCAAGCTGTGGTCCACCATAAGCACATTGATTTCACAGGGTCTACGGCTACTAAGCAGTAGTGCCTTTATAAAATTTGCATTGTCTTTTTCTTAAGATCTCTTTATGGGTAAGTTACCAAAGGGTGACTCTATTTCAATTAAAAAAAGACTATTTCAACTTTTGAAAATACTTGTTTTAACTTAAAAAAATTAGGTAAATAAAATACTTCTTTTTCTTACTGTCTGAAAGTTAATATGCAATATAATAGTTGTAGGTATATATAATAAATATTTCAAATAATTTACCTTGATTTTTTTCAGCTTCTTCTACAGAGCCAATATATTTAGTAGTTACTTGATGATTATCTAATGATGGGTCTAATGCATAACCTAGAAAGAAAAAAGAACAAATTACTATATTCAAAAGCTTTTTAGTCAAGTAACTAACAATTTTATAATACCTTTTAAGTTTCAACTTAGATTTTAAGTTTCAAGTTCATTATGAGGAAAAAAAACCAAATTATTGATTTCTTAAAAAACAAAAACAAAGAAAACCCTTAAAATAGAGACCATCCAGGCAGTGCTTGTGGCTGGAGGCCACTTTCAGCAATAACTGTGCTCAGGTATTGTGCTGGGTATCACCAGGGCTTCGACCTGGAGGGGCTAGGAGTTTGAGGCAGGCATGCGATGCCAAGGATTGAACTCAAGATCTTGCATCCGCAAGACATTGTGGTCCATGCCTTTGAGCTTTCGGCCAGTCCCCTTGGCTCCCTTTTTGCTTATTCACATTCACGTATTAGGCTACAAATATACTCATCTTACATTTTCTTCCCAGACAGTGAAAATGGTCTCTTATGACCAATCTTTCTTTCCCGAGCTGTTTCTATTTAGAAAAATCTAAAATATCAGGTTGCCCGATGAATTCTTTAGCAGAATTAGGACCTTCTGGACCACATCTATCATACTGACATTACATTACTAAGAAGAAGCTGAAAAGAGCTTACTAAGAGCCTTCTTTGGCCAAGATTTCACACTTTCAAAATTCACCCTAAGTATTAATTTTCTTAAGAGCTTAAATATATTTATGTAAATCATACATTTGGAATTTTAGAAGTCCCCCCCCATTTTTATAGCAAGAGATATACATAGCTTATCAATTTATATAGAAGTTAAGAAAACAGGCTAAGAATAACATAAAATCTACCTATTTTGAAAGCGCAAAATCAGTAAAAACTATCGCCTTCCCAATAAAAAGTACTTCAAATTTATAAATTTTTGTATTTCTGTAGTAAAAGAAGTATATCTAATAGCATAGGAATGAATATACTCCTTCAACTTGTGATAGAGTATGTAGTTACACAGAATGTGGTTTTCTATGATGTATGAAAACTGAAGGAAAAAAATCTGTAAGAATTCAGTTTTTTCTCAAAGAGGAGTTTAAGAAGAATTAATGTTGGTGGGATTAATTAATGTGGCATATACACAGTAAAGAGAGTGGTATCATTTACCATACTATGGACTATGATCTGTGTGCTTTATCACGGAAAGTTCTAGTCGATCTTTTAAAAAGTATACATGTAGTGGATGTAATCAAGATCTTAATTTCCCAGTCAAAGACTAAAAAAAGATTTCTTTGGGGGAACAGTGAAGAATTTGTCATCAGACATACTTTCAAAAAGCTAGGATGTAGGTGTCCAACTCACCCTTGTGATACGCTAGAATAGAACCACCCACCTGGCTATTAGCTAATTTGCATAGCATTTTTTCAGTGTTAAAATACATTCTTAGGAAGAGGAGAGAGCTTATGGCAGAAAAGCAGCTTTAGAGTAGAACCTTAGAAATCACAGGTTCAGGGAGAGAGCCACAGTACAACATGTAGGGCGTCAGCTGGCATCCCTATGGCCCTCTTGAGTGCAGAGCTAGTAGTAACCCCTGAGCATTGCTGGTGTGACACAAAAAAGCCAAAAACAAAACAAACAAAAAAACCCTAAACAACGCCCCCCCCACCAACCCCCAAAGGTTCAAATCCTGTAAGGGTTTTTTTGTTGATCTTTCATTTCTCTGATATATAATGTCCATTTAAAAAAAATGATTCCTTAAAATGAGACTTTTTAAGGCTTATGAAATTTAGGCCAACACACCCTAAATTAAATATTCTATCATTCATTAGCATGGAGAAAGATGTACGTTTCCATACAGGGCTTCGCATTATGCAGGGAGGGAAGGAATCCAACTTGTCCTGCTAGTGCTTTCTCTATGTACGCATCAATCCCAACTCATAAGACAACAATCTTGCGACTGAAGAACAGAAACTGTGCCTGCTCCTTTCCCACATCCTCTGTGGTAAAATATATACTGTTTCCTAATAAATAGTAATCTACTACTACCTCCTACCTCAGGCAAGAAGGGAACAATAGTATTTTCCCTTTACAAAGAGAAGTTAAAATATTTAGCTATATTTTATACGGTAATATTTAACTATATCCAGTACCAGAACAAGATATAACCCAAACATCAGAGTTTGAATCCAGTTAGTTTTCTATTATTCTATGTTTCAAATTAGTAAATTTGAAACATGTTTCATTCATGATTTCATTCTATGTTTCATTCATTATTGATCAATTTATTTTAGTTAGGCAACACGGTTATAATAGTGTTAATGCTTATGGTACTGAGGTATAGTTACTGCATGCCTCCCCCCCCCCCCCGCAGCAAAGTGCTCATAATTCTCCACCTCTGTCCTTATGTCACCTTGAGTACATTTCTTCATTCCCACCCTTTCCTTCCAATGCTTGCTAATTAGTTTGATAATACAAGGCCAAGTATTGTTTTTACCCACCCTATATCTTCATTTCAGTCTGAAATATTCTCATCAATCTTCTGGAAGCTCATTTTTCATTGCATCTTTCTAATGAAGGTGATGTCTGCTTTGGGGTTGGGGATAAGTCTCAACAGAGGCAAGTGTAAAGAGCACGTTTAATGTGCTGGGTCTGATGCTCAGCACCACATGAACACCGAGCATAATGTCTGATCCCAGTGGTGGAAGAGCACCACCAGTCTGAACACTGCTGGTGTGGCTCCCATTTTAAAAGAAAGATCACTTTCTTGGTAGTCCCATCTAAATAACACAAGTAATATTAACTTTATTACAGGAGCCATAAGATTACTAATACTGATACCCCAAAAGACAAATGAGAAAAAACACAAACTCTTTGCAAAAGAATGGTCACAAATACATGCAAAAACCCTTCAATCTCACAGAATAGTAACAACAATTGTGAAACATTACTGGTGCCCGCTAGAGCAAATCGATGAACAATGGGAGGACAGCTCACAAATGATTCAAAAGGATAATATTAAAGATATAATATTTCAATAAGCAAATAAGAAAAACAAAAACAAGTACAGAACTGGAGAAAGAGAAACAGGACTAGGAGAGAGAGAGAGAGAGAGAGAGAGAGAGAGCGACAGAGACAGAGACAGAGACGGAGAGACAGAGAAGCAGTACAGAAGATAGGACACTTAGAGTTGTGTAGCTGATCTAGCTTCAATTCCTGGCACAACATACAGTCTCTCAGTCTCCGTCAGAAGTGACTCCTGAACAGTCTAGGAATAAGTTCTTAGCAGTGGGATCCAAAACCAAAGGAGCAAAAAAAAAAAAAAAAAAAAAAAAAGTTATTTTTTTTTGCTGACTTCAGGGAATTCATCATAAGAAAAATGCTCATAAAGTTTTATGCACAAAAATAATTCACCAACTACCTCTTGAAAAGGAATTTGCTGCATTTAACACAGATCACATTTTAATAGTGAAAACTGGAATCAATTTGATACATGATATAAACATTCAAATACAAAAAAGACATCATCAGCAAACTATTTTTAAAGATCATTCAAAAGGTTAATAAGAGGTTTCTAATACTGAAGGTGAGACTCAGACAATCAAGATCATGATAAAATTAAAGACATTTATTTTAAATCCTATTTTCTACTTTCATTAATTGGAGAGGAAAAAACACACTGCTTTTTAAATTGTTTTACATCTAATTTCTGTACCCATGCCTTAGTAAAGTGAATCACTGCAGATGCAAATTCTTGCTACAGAACAATTTAAGAGAAGTATAGGATGGGGATATGGCAAGCAACAGGATACATGCTTTGTAGGAGAGGCCCTGGGTAGGCATTTGTATAAATTTCACTTTTATTTTTTTTCTCCCCTGTCTTGCTTTGTTTTAAAGGAAACAAGCTATCTAACTTGCTGCTTTAGACCCTGCTAAAGTGAAATAAATTTTTAAAGTAGTTTTATTATAGGCTAGAATATAATACACTTACAATGCAAGATAATTTTTATGTGTTTCACATGTATTTTAAGCTTATATGGGATCCCTTCTCAAGAGAACCTTACCTGGCACCAGTTTATTGGACTGAAAGTGTCTATAAACTCTTCCCCGTGATTTTTCTGCTCTCTAATCTTGGCTGTGCCGGGAGCATTGGTGAGTCAATGCAGCCTTGCCATAGTGCAGAATGTTCTAACAGAGACAGCCCTTTCTAACCAAGAGAGAGGGGTTGGAGAGAGTATAATGGATAGGATGCTTGCCCTGAACAGAGATGACTCTGGTTCAATCCCTGGCACCCTATATGGTCCTCAAACACTGCCAGAAGTGATGCCTGAGCACAGATGGGAGCAATCTCCAAGCACAGCACAGGGAGTAGCTGCAGAGCTGCCTTCCGTCCCCATCTCCCTCCACCCCAACACACCCCACTTCTAATAGTCAAATTTGAAACTGTCTTATCACCTTACCGTATGTGGCGAAAGTTCTTCTTTGCTGTTCAAACATAAAATCATTGATATGAGCTGGTTCAGCATATCCAGAGAGCATATTCCTAGGGGCAGCCATTTGCTGGGTTCTAAAGGGATTTTCTGGTCCAAACTGCAATTATAAGGAAAAGAAAAAAACAAAAACAAAAACAAAACACCTTCAATTCTGCACACAAAAGTAGAATTAGACTCACATATTCATAACGATTAGTTTCAACTCTAAATCATCAGTAGCCAATTGTCCTTTCTGGGAACATGCTCACAGCTGGACAATGGCTGTTAAAGACAGTTGGAACAGAAGATAAAAAAAACTCAGCTCACCTGGAGTTTACCATGTGATAAAATTTAGATTAATCAAAGCAAAGTATTCTAGTTCCTCAGTAACAGTAGCAACAGTGCAGTACAACAGCCCAATAGTCATGGACGTTTACTGCCTTCCACAGTCCATCTTCACAGCAAGTCCCATGAAAAGTACTGCCTTGACCATGGAGACTTACTACAGTTTTGGCCCAAACAGCATTTCCCAAAGTCTGTGTATCATACCGCCCCTGGATTAGCAGTAGCATGTTCCAGGAGGCAGTAGTAGAAGCACTGGGTACAAAGGTGGGAGGAGGGTTGAATTCTTCCTGTTGTTCACTTAGAGAAGGGAGATACAAGAGAGGCATAAGTGATTTTTCCACCTCCTGAAAAGGAGGCAGGACATCAGTGAAGTTTGGGAACCTCTGGTCTAAGCAATTCTTTTGGAGATTTTTGGTGACTTTTAGATCAATAATGGCACTGTGACATCATTTACAAAATCATATTTCTTTCCCAGATTCTGAGTCCTTCAAAGGAGATTGAAAATCCTTAATTTACAATAGTAAATGACATGGGGAAAGTACTGTGGTACAGCACCTGTTCTGGGCTGGAGAGGTAGCCCAACAGGTTGAACAGAGCTCTACACCCCGGTGGTGGCTTCAGTAGGATCCCTAGCATGACCTCATCCTTTGAGCACCACCAGGAGTAACTCCTGAGCTTCAAGCCCCTGAACATCACCAGTCATCCCCAAACCAAACAAACAATAACAACAACAACAAAATATACTTTTCTAAGATACATTTCCAGAGACATGAAGATAAATTCTAGGCTTTTCTTAATTAGAATATTGTTTTTGCTCCATATCAGTATGATGATATACCAAGAGTATCCCGCCTGCACGGGCAGAGTCTGGCAAGCTTCCTGTGGCATATTCGATGTGCCAAATACAGTAACGACAACAGGTCTCAGGCCCCTGACCCTGAAAGAACCTCTAATCATTGGGAAAAGACGAGTAAGAAGAGGCTGCTAAAATGTCAGGGCTGGGAGGAATAGAGACGTTACTGGCGTCTGCTCAAGTAAATCGAGGAACAACGGGATGACAGTGATACAATGAACTTACTGAACTAGCAAAGTCTGAGGCAAAGAGGTAAACCTCCACACTTCAAAATGGCCTACAAGCTGGTCTTTGTTACAGAGCTGTTGTCAAGAGTGAGCTCAACTCAAATTCCCAGATATGCCATATGCAGGAAGACTTGGTTAACTTGCTATAAATGAGGGATGAGTACTTACTTCATGTGGTTGTGTGAGAACTAATGGGGATAGGTACATATATGGTATGGAAATCCCTCACTATGGTGACTGGCCATCAAAAATAAATGGTACCTTTATTTCAGGTATCTTAACCTTGGTTCTTTTCCTACCATGCAAACTCTTGCCAAATGAATCTTCCAAAATTTCAGCTATGATTATGTGACATCCCATTATGGAAGTTTTGAAATCTCTTTATCATCTATAAAAAGAAAGGTCAAATTCTTCACCTTGACCCCTGGGGAATGTTAAACGATACAAAAATCATTTGTCTTACTACCCTGTTCATCCTTACTGATGACTCAAGAATTTCCGTTCCACTTTTATGATTTGACTCATGCTGTCCCCTTCTGCCCAGAATCTGTCACAAGTCTACCTCATCACCAATGCCAATACCATTACTGTAAACATCAATAAGAACTATCATTTATTAATTGCTTACTCTATGCCAGAAAGTCCCAAGTTATCACATTCTCATTAGCTTTAAAACTGACTGAAGTAGAAATTATCTTTCTTCATTTTATTGATACGAAAACTAAAATAATCAAAGGTTACCTAAGAATTAGTAAAAGTAAAAGTAAAGTAAAGGCCTTCCCTTTGATCATTGATTTGCTCCAGCGGGCCCAGTAACGTCTCCATTGGAGACTTTGTTGTTACTGTGTCTGGCATATCGAATACTCTCGGTAGCTTGCCGGGCTCTCCGAGAGGGGCGGAGGAATCGAACTCGGGTCAGCCATGTTGGCCCCTTGTAAGGCGAACGCCCTACCCGCTGTGCTATTGCTCCAGCCCCATAAAGGCCCTCCCGTTGATCATCGATTTGCTCAAGCGGGCCCAGTAACGTCTCCATTGGAGACTTTGTTGTTACTGTGTCTGGCATATCGAATACTCTCGGTAGCTTGCCGGGCTCTCCGAGAGGGGCGGAGGAATTGAACTCGGGTCGGCCATGTTGGCTGCGTGCAAGGCAAACGCCCTACCCGCTGTGCTATCGCTGAGTGGTTCATTTTATTCTCAATTTTATTTTCTTGTTCTTAAGCTTGCTTTCATGGAACATTTCTTTGTTGAGAAAGGGGGTGGATTTAGGACCACACCTGACAATGCTCAGGACTTACTCCTGGCTCTGTGCACACGAATCAGTCCCGGTGGAGCTCAGGAGACCATAGGTAGTGTTGGTGTTGGGACTGAACTGGGATTGGCCATGTGCAAGACAAGCACCTTACCCCTAGAACTGTCTCTCCAGCCCCTGTGGAACTTTTAAATCTTTACTAGCTGATATAAACTCTTCCTTAATTTAAAAAGTATTTTAAAAGTACTATAGGAAAGAGCCTCTTATCTTTTTGAAAAAACATAGCATATTCTACTAGTTAAATACTAGCAGCTTTAGGAGTGGGATTATATCTAGTTTCTAGGACTAAATTCTCAAAATATAGGAATATGAGTATATTCTAGTCAAGTTCTGATGATATCTTTCAGGACTTTGCCAGTTCATACAAATGCTAGTCATAACATTCAAAGGAATAATGTTACATCACAGATAATTTATTTGGCAACCAGAAAAACCCTCAAGCACTGATGTGCTGCTAGCATAAACCAGTTTATATATTCAAGGGGAGTTTTTCTAACCTAAAGAAAAAAATATTAAGGGATTGGTAACTGCACAAAGAGAATGAGATGTCTATCGTCACATCAGTATCACCACAGAAATTTTTTTTTTAATTTATTTATTGAATCACTGTGGGAAAAGTTACAAAGCTTTTAGGTTTAAGTCTCGGTCACACAAATATCAAACACATTTCCCTTTAGATCACAGAAATTTTTTGATCTTTGCAATTTTTCTTGAAAACTGTAATTATACAATAGTACGTAAATATGAAATATATTATGTATAATATACATATATTCCTTTTAAATTTAAGAAAAAGAGACCACAGAAAATATCCTGACACAGGAATGGCATATATCACACTACTTGCCAATTTTTGCATTCTTTTAAAATTCACTGGATTGGTTTTATTGAAGTACTTTAATTTAAGAAAGTCACAAAATGTATATATAACATACAATCTCTGTTTAACAAGTGCCGAAGACTATGAGGTATACTCAAGTTTCACATGCTAGAAGAATTTTCAAAGAAATGGGATAAAAACAACACATGATGTCAGTGGACAGAAGCAAGAGTTCTGCTTCCAGAGAACAGCACAGCAGACTAAATGCCAGCACTCACCCCCCCTTGCTGTGCTATACTTCTCAATAGCCAGAGTTTAAGTGATTATGGAAACCTAACCAGACCAATGGATGAAGCTTTTATATAACTCTGCTTTATCAAAAAAGGCATGACTATATGCTTAAAAAAATGGATATTGAAATGTACTTAGTTTTCCATCAAGATGCAGAGAGGGATCCTTAGTTCTAGCTTTAAAGAACATTTAAAAGATCAAGCTGCCAATCTTTATTTTTTGCTTTTCATAATGACATACCTTCTTTATTTCAATCTGATAATGTCCTTTCCCTTTTTTAAAGGTGGGCAAACCCCAGGAAATTAATCTTTTCTAAACTAATTGCCCTCGCGCCTGACTGTCCTTGCCGCCAGGGCCCCTTGGAGGGGAGCCGGTTGAGCTTTCCTCCCCGCCCCGACCAGAGCTCCGGCAGCCAAAGACCTCCAGGACCAGCCACCACCATGCTGAGACCACTCTCCGCACACATGAAGGTACTGGCAGAGGGACAAAGTCACGAGGGTTCCGGGGCCGAGACCTCCAAGCCTACTCGGACTGGGGCCGTGTATCCTCCACCCAGATCCTCCAAAATCCAGTAGGTGCGGGGTCACACCCACCAACTGGCCCCCTGACGCCGTGTAATCCCATCAATGGCCAAGACTCAGAGACTATAAAAACCAGCTCCCGGAACCGCACGGGCGCGACATCCTATTATGACATCTTATTTTCTCATTCCTACTTTGGACAAACTGGCAGGCTACCGAATGTAGCCTGCCCACACGGCAGAGTCTGGCAAACTCCCTGTGGCGTGCCCAGTATGCCAAATACCAGTAACAATGATGGGTCTCATTCTCCTAAAGAGCCTTGAATATAATCACAGGGCTAGGATGAAGGAGACGTTACTGGGGCCTGCTCGAGGCAATCGACGATTAACAGGATGATTTGTGATTTGTGTGATTGAAACTAATTTCCCTAAATAAATAATTTCACCTTCTCTTTCCCCCCCTTTTATCACTATATGTTACCAGAAAATAAAACCAAAATGTCCTACTCAGATCAGGCAGTAAACACTACACCTTTGCTGATGAAACCATTGTGGCTCTAGGTTCTTAGCATGGTTTGCGTTTTCAGTGTTTATGACAGGAAAACATGTAATTACATGTTCATAATATACTATGCATTTATGATTGCTAATTAGTCCATTTCTCCTTCAGGTTAATTTATAATGTTCTCTTATTAATGCTGAAAGATGCTATTTCACCTCTTTGAGTTTTAAGATTATATTAAGATTTCCTTTTTGGGCTGGAGAGATTGCTCAAAAAGTTGGTGGACATGCTCTGTTTACAAGAGTCCTAGGTTCAGTCCCTGGCACAGCATGGTTCTATAAGCACTGCTCCCTGAACAATGAGCTCGGAGTAGCTCCTAAAAAACAAAAACAAAGGAAAAAATATTTTCTCTTTCAAAAGACAGAGTTCCATGTTATCAGAGAGTTACATGTAGGTAAACAACTACAGAATTTTTAACAGTGCCTTCACTAACAGACTATTTAAACATTTGGAGAATAGAAGAACCTTATTTCCCTAAATTTTAAAACTGCATGTTTAAGAGAAAAAAAAGTCAAACAATTCACTTGTTATCTGTTTATCTACCTTCGTATATTTACATACTTAGCAAAGGCAGAGCCTTAACATGCTTTCTTCTTTTTTAAAAAATTTTTTAATTTTATAAGGTGGTTTACAATATTTGATTACAGTCAATATTCACGTACTGCCATATAAGTACTGTGAGCTAACTGACTGCACCACTGGCGCTCCTACAGTCAATATTCAAACACCAATCCTACCACCAAATTTGGGATGTTTCCATCCCAAGCCCTAATCCCTATCCCAAGGCACAACTGAAATAATATGTTTTGTATTGTCTGTTATGGAAAACCGCTGAAAATGCTACAAAAAAAATATCCGTAGAAGAGACAGTATGAAGACTGTTCTATTTTGGCAGGAGCTATTAAGACATTCTTTAGTTAACATGCTTTCTTACCTCAGGAGCAAACATGGTCTCATAGGTCGGGTTATACTGAACTTCTTTGACAGCAGGGTCAAGGTGAACTCCAGTCTCCAAATCCTCCTAAAAGAAAATCAAATACACTTTGAGGCCACACCAGCATTTTAACACCAATTCTATGATCACTTAACTAGTCACCATCATTTAGTATTATTAAAAATCAAAGATGAATAAAAGTAGTGATTGTAACTTTAAGAGTTTTAAATTGTACTTTAAAAGCGGTAACACAAATTTTTCCCTTTTAAAATTCTCTTATCTGAACAAATAAAACATTTCTAAGGCTTATGATATAGCTCCAGTGACAGAGCTCATGCTTAACAGGTGTGTGACCCTAAGTTTGACCCCTTGGCACAGCATGGTCCCTGGAGCATCACAGGGTGTGGATCCTGATAGCTGAGGGCATTGCCAGCTCAAAAGCACTGCACTGTCAGGTCAAGCACACACAGGAGAACATGTCTGGGAGTGGCCCCTATTCAACAGTCCTCCCTCCAGTAGTTAATACCATTAGAAGTTTTTAAGATTATACAATTCCTTAATAACTCACTTTCCCTGACCCAATGATACTTCTTTATTGAGCAAACCAATTCTAAATCAGTATCTCTAGAATGAAAATCCTGCATGGACTAGATTTATAATCCAGTCTTCAACTTGACTTATATACCGTGGTCTAGATTTATATTTCAGCCTTCAACTTTACATCTTTTCTCCCAAGGTGATCAATATACATCTCACTTTTTTTTTACATCACTTTTTTTTAATACACTGTGATTTACAAAGTTGTTTCTTCATAATAGAGTTGCTTCAGGCATATAAAGTTCCAACAATCCCAACACCAATGTCTCCTTCCCTCCACCAATGTTCCCAGGTTCCCTCTTACCCACACCCAGCCTACCCCCTTGGCAAGCATACAACAGATTGATTTCTTTTCACTTGGTCCAAAAAACCTTAAAGGAATGGCAAATAGAATGATCAGATATCAACGAAAGTCAATTTGTGATGATTGATGTTTTAACCTTACTCAATCTACTAGAGGAAAACCATACATCCCATTAGTGAGTTGACATACTCAATGCCAAATGTTGGGAAGTTTCTCCTGTTCTTTAAAGGGGCACTTTTAAAGTTTCTTCAAAGACTTGTTTCAAGGCTAAGAATTCCCTAAGCTGCTGTCTACCCATGAAACCGTATAGTTCCCTTCAGATGTGAATGATAACCTATCTGGAGAGAGAACTCTTGGTGAGGTATTGATTTCGTTGAGTTTCGTATTATATCCTTCCATACTCTTCTGAATTATCTCATTTGATAGATTTGCTGTACATCTTATTGGCTTTCCTAGGTATAGAAGTTTCTTTTTTGATCTTCCTATATTCCATATTCTGTCTCTATCTTTGGATTTTGTCCTTTTGAGAATAATGTGTTTTGGAGTTTTCCTAATTGGGTTTATTTTCACTGGGACCTTTCAGACCTGTAATCTTCTGTCACTGTCCTCCTGTTGTTCATCGATTTGCTTGAGTGGGCCCAGTAACGTCTCCATTGTGAGGCTTTGTTGTTACTGTTTATCATATCTAATACGTCACGGGTAGCTTGCCAGGCTTTGCCGTGCGGGCGAGATACTCTCGGTAGCTTGCCGGGCTCTCCAAGAGGGGCGGAGGAATTGAACCCGGCTCGGCCAGGCTGGCTGCGCACAAGGCAAACCCCCTACCCGCTATGCTATCACTCCAGCCCTGTAATCTTCTAGTCTAGGAAATTCTTATTGATAATTTAGTATCATTCATCACATTTGTCTTCCAGTTCTTCAGGATTCCAAAGATTAACATATTATTCCTTTTGAACTCATCCCACAGTTCTCTGGTAGCTGTTCTGTTCATTTCTTTTTCAGACTATTTTCCACTGTTTCCTAGTGGTTTCCTCCCTCTCAACTTGGAGCCTTTTGATCTTTAGTTCAGTTGCTCTTTTGTTATTTAGAGCTTGTTTTTATTATTATTATTATTTTTTATATAGTACTTATCATGCTCTTTATGTCTGTCATTTCTGATTGTAATAGTTTTTTCACTTTTGGACTCCTTTTTTGTTTTGGAGGTCACTTCTTGCTCTGCACTTAGGAATTTCTCCTGGCAGTGCTTGTGGGTCGATATGGGGATTTGGGGATCGAACTCAGGTTGGGCACGTGCAAGTTAAACGCCTTACCTGCTGTATTCTCTCTCCAGCCCTTTGTTTCAACTATTATACTTTTTTGTCTTTTCCTGACTATCTATGCTATCAGTTCTTTGAGCTTATGGATCATCCTCATCATGGTATCACTAAAGACACAGTCTGAGGATACACTGAGTTGGTTGGTCTTGTTTATGTCTTTGGGGATTTTTTTCCCCCACTCATTGAAGTTGGTAGTCTTCTTATGTGTTTTTTTTTCCATTGGTTTTCTCTAGTGTTCTTGCTTCGCTGGGGTGAATCTTGTAGCTAAGCCCCCTGGAAGGTGCTGAAACATTAGGCTGAAGATTGTTTAACAGGCCCAGGGATGTCTCAGCGAGCCTCACCTGAGATGGCTGAGTATTACGCAGAAGGTATTATACATCTCACTTCTAATGTTCAAAAAGGAACTTCTGGTCTTCCCTTCCCCACTGACTCTTGCCTTTTCTATTCACAACTTCTTTCTTATACTTGTCTGGCAGATTCCTAGAGTTATCTCTGATTCCTCTTTTTCTCAAACACCAAATGTCTAATCCATCAGCAAATCCTCCACCTTCCACATACATACAGCTTTCAGGCACTTCTGTCCCTTCCCACTGACACCTCAATCTATCTTAGCATCTCATATCTGGATTACTGTATTAGCCCTGGAACTGACTGCCCCGCTTTTTGGCCCTGATCTACTGATATCCTTATTCCACACAGATGATGAGATTTTTCTCAAGTATTACTCAGAACTATACCATTCCATTGCTCTAATACTCTCAGACAGTGTCTCCTTGGAGAAAAAGCTCATCACACGCTTATATGGTCAACCACTAATTCTCAGTTAGTATGGTTCACTGGGTTATTTTTTTTGTCTTCCTGAAGTGACAAGTAGTTCATAAACCTACTAGAAGCATGTTCTCTAATTATAAGTATCTATTCTTTTGAGCATGTAATCTATACATAGAAATATTAAGCAGGTTTTTTAACCTATAAATTATAATTTAGTAAAGCCAGAATTGCAAAATTGGCTGTTATGAGAAGTTGAACTGATTAGGAATTTACTCTCGATAATCTGCCCCCTCCCATATTGATTTCAGTCTTCATTTGGCCTTGGGTCTATACTCACTTATTCCAACTTCACCAGGCTATTTGTACACTCAGCAAATGGCAGTCTTGACTCACGGTCTAGGTACTACTGTTCCTTCTGGAAATGTTCTTTCCTTGGATACTCATGTGACTGTTCTGTCTTCTTTCAAGTCTCTACTTAGTTTTTCTACTTTTCCCTTACCATGATTTACTTTTAACTTATCATTACTGGCATATTATTTCCTACCTCCTGCTATTAAAATAAATACCATACAAGACAGATTTTGCATATTTTTCTAGGGTTTGTGTCTTCACAGCCTAGAATTATTGCCATCATCAATTACTGCTTTGTTTCCTTTGTCTTTGTTTTGGAGTCACATTGGGCTTACTCCTGACTCTGTGCTCAGGGGATCACTCTTCGTCATGTTTAGGGACCATATGTGGCAGCAGGTATCTAACCCTGGTCAGCTGAATGCAAGGCAAATGACCTCCCTGCTGTGCTATCTCTCCAGTCCCATTATTATCACTTTTAAATTTTTGGAATTCTACATAGGGTATATCCATTAACACAATGCCAAGGAACACTGCACATTTTGCAAAACAGATGGGTTGTTATGACACTGACAGTGGTGCTGGAGAAGAACCCGTGTTAATAACAGATAAAAAATCTAGTAGAATTGGACCAGTTAATTACCAAAGACAAGAAAAATATTTGAATTAGCACACATGGCCATTGTTCCAAAGCTTACTATTCTGAAAGATCACTCAGCAATGCATGCAATCAAGTACTGCAACTCAGATAAAATCCTGCAGGACCGACTCCCTTAAACTTCTCACTACCTACAAATTTTGTCTTTATTTTCTTACTCTTCTCACTGCTCCAATTTTAACCCCTATTTGGGGGTGGCGGGGTGGGAGGGAGGGTTGTGGAGGTGAGTGTATCACTGCAAGGTGGTAAAGGAGCCCAGAGCTCTCCCAGAGGCACATCTGCTGAACCTCAGCACTACAGCTGCTCCAGCCCCACAGTTCTGGGGACCATTAGGGTCACCCGTAAGGTGCTGAGGGGCCTCCAGGGCCACATCTGGTAATACTCAGGAAAGCCATATAATGGAGGAGATTGAACCTGCCCTGGCTGTGTGCAAGGCATATGTCCAAATTCATGTACCTGTTTCTTTGCCTCCTGATCCCAGTTCTTATCTGTAACCTTGACCACACTCTTGAGATTCAAACATCCAAATGCCAAATGAATTTTATTACAGTGATCTTCCTGGTATCAAACTTTTTTTTTCCCTCCCAACCTGAAGACACCCTCCCCACATGACTTCCTTCATCCACTAACAAATCAGGCTACTTCTTTTTTCTTTTTTTGGGGGGGGGGAGGTCATACCTGGCGATGCACAGGGGTTACTCCTGGCTCTACACTCAGGAATTACTCCTGGCAGTCCTCAGGGGACCATATGGGATGCTGGGAATCAAACCCAGGTTGGCTGCGTGCAAGGCAAATGCCCTACCTGCTGTGCTATTGCTCCAGCCCCAAAGCTAACAAATCAGGTACTAAAGTCTTATCAGTTCTCTCTGAAAAATCTACCAATTCTGTTCCTACCACCTTCCCTTCTCCACACCTGGTCACCACTCTCTTGGTTCAGGCTCCAATATAACAGGACTTCAATATATGTTATCTCCTTATCTGGTTTAATATACCCCTACTCTTGCCATATTAAACTGATTTTTTAAAATACCAAGCACTTTCATGCTTTCTGTGCTGTTACTTTGTTCCTGTAGTTTTTCTTCTTATTTAATAGGTC